ATAAATAAGACAATTAAAATTAAAATTTTTGTCAAATAATCATCTTGATTGATTTTGCATTAAGGATAGAGCTATGGAATCTCTAAGTGAAATCATGTTACGATCCTCCATTGTACTAACAAAAGTACTTTGAGAAATTCCTTGATCTATGCTCTCTTCTCCAAGCACTTCAGGTATATAATTTGGGTTATGATCACACCTATCAAATTCTTTATCTCTGATTGCATGTTGCCTAATATAATTATGAAGTACAATTGTTGCAGTTACTATCTTCTTTTGTGTTGTAAATGAATAACTTCGCATGCCGAACAATATTTCAAACCTATTTTTTCAATACCCAATAGATCGTTCAATGACATTTCTAAGACAAGCATGAGCATGGTTGAATACTTCTTGATAACCGATTGGTTGGCTTCCACGTCTAAAATCAGGAATGTGATACCTTTCTCCTTTATAAGGTGCCAAATATCCATTTATATTAGGATAACCAGCATCAACAAGATAATATTTACCTAAAATATAAGAGAGAAGTTATTGATAATAAATACAAAAAATTTTCTTAAAAATTCATTAAGAATTGTGCTTAAAACCTATAACACAAAATAAATAGAAAATTATTACCATCAGGAGGATGAGGAAACACATCCTTATGATTTTCCAATGTATGGGTTAAAACATGTGCATCATGAGTAGATCTAGGCCACCCTGTAACTACAAATGTAAATATCATATCAAAATTACAAACTACCATCACATTTTGAGTGGGGATGCCTTTGCGACCTATAAATGGTATTAGGTCTTCTTCAGGGATTGTGGCTTTAACATGCGTACCATCAATTGCACCAATACATCCTTTAAAATGAGGCCAAAACCTACTATCTTGTCGAATCTTATTGGGAGTTTCGGTAAAATTATAATTAGGTGGTTTCACAATATCACTTGAAAACCTCACCATTACATCAAGAACCTCTTGAAATTTTCTACTTATTGTTTCTCCCGAATGTTTAAAACGATTTTGCACATTTCGATTAGATTGATTATGTGCACATGTCCAAAGAAACATTGCAAGTGATTCTTCTACACATATTTCTCTTGTTGATGTTAGTCCATAATTACTAACTAACAAAGAACATAATCCCGTAAAAACATGTGGTTCCATTCTAAATAATTTACAACTTTCACTTGGAGTTGCCAATGTCTCTTGCACCCATTGCCAACCTGAAAGTCCTGAAAGTCTTGAAACTCTTCTTTTTTGTTTGTTAAGATATTTTGAAATATATTTTGAAGATATTGAAACACCTAAGTGAACAAGAGAATAAAAGATATTATCTCTTTTTCGTCTACCTTCCACCTGCTTATCTCTTTGTTCTATAGCTTGTTCCTCCACCTCACACTCATAACTATTTTCTTCCTCCACCTCACACTCATAACTATTTTCATAATTCCACCTTGGATCTAAATCCATCTACCAAGAAAAAGAAAAACATTAGGATCCACATATGAACACAAAAAACCAATCTAATTATTTTTACAAC